TGTCGACCTGATGGGCCAGGTTTCACAACCATATAGGAGAGTTGAACGGACGGCTGCGTTGTAAACTCTCCCCTTCAGGGCGAGAGTAATGTCGCGTCTGCGCCACAGGTGGCGGAGATAGGCAAAAGCACCTTGAGCTTTTGCTATACGGTTCGTAACCTCATCTTCAATCCCACGGGTGCTAATATAGCTACCCAGGTAGTTGAATTCCTGAACGACTTCTAGCTGATCAAAATCAAGCGTTAGCGCAGGGTTGGTTCCCTGCCAATCCTGGAGAAGTACTTTGCATTCAATGGAGCAAAGCATAGCCCAAAACGATTGACAGCCAGTGCTAATCGGTCCAGTGCTGTTTGGCATGTTTGGGAGCTGTCACAGATTAGGGCAATATCGTCCGCATACTCCAAGTCAAGAAGTCGCTCACCAGGAAGTAGCTCCACACCTTCTAGGTCGTGTCCAGCGAACGCTGTTTCCATGACTCCATCAATAGCGAAGTTGAAGAGGAAAGGTGACAGCGGGCATCCTTGTCTCACACCGCTGATGATACTGAAGGGTGGCGAGAGTTTGCCATAAACCCTCACCCCGCCCGAACTATGCGCGCACAGCGCTTTGATAATGTTTACATATTTATCAGGCACACCTTTAATCAAAACAGACAGTCCCAAAGGGCACATCGATCGACTGAGTCGAAGGCACCTTTTATGTCAAGAAACACGACAACGGTGGGTCACCAATAAACATGGCGGTGCTCCAACACTTGACGCAATGTGACGATGTGGTCGATGCAGCCCCGACCTCGATGAAATCCGGCTTGCTCTTCCCGAATCTGATTTTCACGAGTGCCAGTCAGTCTGTGGAGAATGACAGAGGCAAGCAATTTAGAGGCAATCGAAATCAGACTGATCCCTCTATGATTGCCGCATTCTAAACGGGAGCCTCCTTTGCAAATTTGGACAATGACGGAGCGATTCCAGTCTGTCGGGATTGTCTCCTGCTCCCAAAGTTTTATTAGCAACTCGTGTAGATCATCTACTAGAGCGGGTCCCCCGAATTTGAAGAGGGCTGGGGGAATTCTATCTGCCCCTGCGGCCTTATGCAATTTCAACAGCCTGATCTCACGTTCGACTTCTGCGCGTGAGGGCGGATCTAAGGAGACGGGCCAAGGAGAAGGGCGCTCAATGCCCGAAGAAGAAACCGATAACTCAGGTTGGTTAAATTGCCTTGCAAAGTGTTCGGCCCAACGCTCCAAGCGTTTTGACAGGCTATGGATCGGCTGCACACTCTCCTCGTGTATGTTCGCGCTAACACCAGGTCTCCTGCTGCCTGTTTCCCGTATCAGAGGGAATAACTTACGATGATTACCAACGGCAGCGGTTGTTTCCATCTCAGAGACACGATGAGACCACCAGGTTTCGCGGTCCTTCTTTAGGCTAGCATGTAGTTTTGCCCTGAGATTTTTGCGAGCCTCATTGTATTCGCTTCCAGCCGGAAGACGTCGGCGAGCATCCATAAGTTCCAGAGACTGTGTAGAGACCCAATGTCCGGTTTGGCAAGTTGCTTTGCCATATGAAGACATGCCTGCTAACAGCAACACTTGACGAATATGCCACCAGTGATCTTCAACGGTGTTTAGTGGGCGCTTACTCAGCCCAGATGACAGCGCACTTTGGTACACATTCAGAACATCTGGCTTCGCCAGCTGGTTTGTGTCAATCCGTTTACATCGACGTTGCGGACGTCCACCAGAACGCACCAGGAAGTCGGCACAGACAAGTGCGTGGTCAGAGTCCACGCTCGTGCTCCAAGTCGAGCGACAGTTTTGGACACAACCTCTCCAGCGGGAACTGATCGCGATATGATCAATTTGCGTCCATGGCTGGCCAGAGGCTGGTGGCCGCCAAGTCACACTCCTGCGGGTGCTGTGTCAAAAGTTAGTGCTCGCGAGAAAGAGGCGAGCATCTTTGTCGAAAGTTAGTGCTCCCGAGAAAGAGGCGAGCCCCCTGCTCAAGGACCTCTTTTTACTCAGGTGAGGCAGGACGCGCCATGGACGGTTAGTTTAGAAATTCCGTCGCAGGCCGAGGTCCGAAACGCAATCACAGCTCTCACTCGTTTTCGTGCTGCTCTCCCGTATCCCCTCCCACTTGCACTATTTAAGGATGGAGGTGACGTCCTCTGCAAAGCACTGACCTCCATATTCGAACGTATCTGGAAGGAAAAAAGTGTCCCGGATAATTGAATCGAATCGATGCAATATACAACAAGGGCGGTCGCACAGACTGTTCTAACCACATGAGTATTAGCTTAACCCCAGTTGTGACAAAATTACTAGACTCCATCCTCGTTCGTCGTCTCACTGTGGAGCGGGAAACTCGGATTAAGGAAGAGCAAGCCGGCTTCCGCCCAGGACGTGGCTGTATAGACCATACACTTCATTTGCGGCAGGTGCTGGAGCAGCGCCATACATACCAAAGATCGACAATAGCTGTTCCTCGATTTCAAGAGTGCGTTTGATTCAGTCGATCGATGCATTCTGTTTGAAATACGTGCGCGGAAAGGTGTTCCCACGAAATATGTGAACATCCTTGGTGCTCTATACTCGAACATTACGATCCGCGTCAGGGTCTACGGTGGCCTATCGGATAGCTTTCCGACCCCAAGTGACGTTCGTCAGGGCTGTCCGATTACCCCATTTTTGTTTAATTTGGTTATGGATTATAGCATACAGTGTTCCCTTGCAAAATCTCACGATGTAGGCGTTGAAGTGGTACCTGGTGGAAGGTTAGTTGACCTACATTAGCGGACGATATCGTCTTGCTTTTCGACGATGTTGCGGCGGCACCATCAATCCTGAATAGCCTGTCCAGAGTGGTCCCATTATTTGAGGTGCACTTCGCACCTTAAAAGTGCAAAGTGTTGTTGCAGGACCACCAGCCAGTTCGTGACCCCTTGACCCTTGCTAACGAGGAACTCGAGGTGGTTGATCAATGCACTTATCTTGGCAGCTGCATCAGCAACGATGGGTGCATAGAAACTGACGTCAGCCCACGCATTGCAAAAGCCAGAGCTACCTTCGTGAACCTGCGGCATCTTTGACGACAGAAGAGAGTTTCCCTCCGTCTGAAAGGCCGTGTATACAAGGCCACAGTGAAGGCCGTTCTGCTCTATAGCAGTGAGACTTGACCCCTTCGGGCTGAAGATCTGAGGCGCCTTCAAGTCTTTGATCATGCTTGTCTGCGAAACATTGCTGGTGTCGGATGGCACCAGCGTGTCCGCAACGATGATGTGCGTAGGCGAGTACTAAGTGGTGATAATCATGCTAGCTCCCTAGAACAACAGATAGCACTGAATAAGTTCCGTTGGCTCGGGCACGTGCTACGTATGCCTGGTCACCGCTTATCTAGGAGGGCCTTATTCAGTCTACCAAGTGTAGGGTGGCGCAAGGCTCGAGGTGGACAAAAGTTGACTTGGCAGCGAGAAATGAAGTCACTAACGACCAAAGTTGGTATCGTTGGTACTTCTCGCCTTCCAAGGTGGAGTCCACGTGACTCGCCTTGTGTTTGGCGCGAGAGTCTACAGAACATGGCTCACAACCGACACCAGTGGTGAGTCCGCTGCCGTCTCCTAACCAAACTGTCTGTTTAAAGTGTTTGGTGCTGAGTTATCTGCTGGGTAATGGCTGATTATGACGCGGGGCAGTGAAAGCCGCAAGGAAGCTATCTCGCCGATGCCGTCTTATCTTTGCACGATAGCCAGCTGTTTGTGACGGTATGTTGTCTACACAAGGTGTAGGTGCCTTGACCCTGAATGTTTGCTTAAGGCATTAAGGTTTTCAGGTAAGTCACCCTTCTCTCCTCTTCTTAGGGTTTATTTCATAGATCATCATGGTTGTATGGCAGCGAAGCATCAGTTCAAATGGCTGATGTAATGCTGTTGATGATGATGACTGTGGGCAGTAAAATGTGCGCCGCTGTGACAACAATGGGTCTCGTAAAGTGACGTCTCGAACCAGACCGAAAGATGCCTCGTAGTGTCTGAGAACCTGCGGGTGATTTACGCTTAAATGAAGAAATTAGCGACGACGGTGTCTTCTGGTTGGTGCTTTTCATACAACAATTGTGATAGAACATCGGTCTGAGAAATATCACGCGTCGACCGGTACTTGATTTTGAAATCATTCCCAAGCAATTTTATCGCCCACCATCGCAGACGATTGGCCACATCGTTTTGACTGCTACGTGCTTGATCGAATCCAATCCGAGTATATGGTGGCGCAAACATCAGCTCCCACTACCATCATAAAATATTCAAAAGATGCCAAAGGGTGGTAACTGCCCGACATGCAGAGGATATACAGGAGTGCGCCTGATGAATATCAGATTAGCTAGAGGAAAGGAACGCCACTGGCTTCATGAAAATTGAATTATACCTATGCACATGAACCTGATTTCAAGTATTTGATACATAATTTACATTTAAAATAAATGTATTGGTATTTACACAAGCAACAGTAGGCACGGTAATCAGTGCAGAAAATGGACAAATTATACAATGTACGGTTGAGAGACAACAGTGGTAAGTGTGAAAAGCTTATTATAACTGTCAAACCAACACATCGATGCAATATTGGAAAGAAGTGAAGGTGCAAAATCTACGTGTTCAAAGTCAATCCCCCGAATAACTTGATTACCTTATTAATACGGATCACAAAACTGGACAGCTTCGAGCAGATCAACCTCACAGGTAACTTATAATAGAGTAGGATCATATCAGATCAGGCAGCCGTTTTAAGCCATGAAATACACGGCGGTTCGTCAACACAATAGACGTGACTTTCAAATGCAATGCGCACGTTCGCTTACCGAGGTTCACGCAAGAAATCGGATAATGAAAGACAGCGAGATGGAGAGAAGATTGACGCGAAAATAATAACAGGTTCACAGTAGTTGGAAAATGCACACATCAGCGGGAAGACAACACTTAATTCAGAAAAGTTGTGCTCATACCTCATCTTTTAAAAAGGCGCACACTTGACCACAGCTTTGACATTCGCGCGGTTCGCCGAATCTCATCCGGTAATGAAGACAACGTTGGCATACCAAAGCGTTTCCGAAAGCAGTCTTCAATCGACATATAGAACAAGGTTGCGGTTCACCATATTTACTCTTAAGTGATTGACATCTGGGGCAAATCACTCCATAACTGAAAGCAACCGATTCGAAAGTCATGAACCAACTTACATGTAATACTTGAAGTCCGCTTTGCAGTATTCACACTGTTTGAAGGTGGAGTGATGGGGATTGCAACTCTTGGATTGTCACTTATCAAACATATGTCAAAAATACCTTGCATGTCTGTCCAGTACGTGACATTTCGGACTGAGGGAAGTTTCGAAAACACTTTGCACAGGAAAATAACGGTTGTTCCATCGTGCTGACAAAAAAGCAACATATTAAAAATGAAAATACTTTCTGTCTGGGTTGTTCTTTAAGACGCGCACTTAAAAGCAATACAAATACAATATAAATATACAATTCTCATCAAATTAATCACATCTGAGATGTGAGAACCCAACTGGTGTCAACGGAAGACAGTCGTAAGTACTGAACACTGACAGACAAATAATGTAAGGCCACACTGTTTCGGTGAACATTTGATGAAGGAAGAGTAGGTGCTCACTGAAATGAAGAATGTCCGTGTGCTACAGATGCACAATGTGGCAGAAGAAAAATGCGGATTCTGTTCAGATCACAGCACAATCCACACAGTGTTAGCAGATCCTCAACTGCTAACGAAAGCTGTTACACTCAGTGCTAGCCAAATATACCACAGTGCTTAACGCCACAAATCGAGGCGCTGTTGATGTCATTGGGTAAGTTTGGATGCGTCGGCAAACATTTAGATTTGATTCGATGTTGCCATAAAGTAGGCAGGGTTAAGATGACATGATACAAAAACATCGATTATGTGTCGGACGTATATCACAGGCGCGTATCCTGAATTCCCCACGACAAGTTGAGTTCGACAGGGTTTCCTATATCTCCATTTCCCTCCAACTTTGTAATCGGGATGATCATGAGTGGTTCCGTTCTTACATGCCTTTCCGAAAAGGGAGTTCTGCCATGTGACCGAGTAATGAACTATTAGGAGGAGCACACCCTAAGAAATGGATCAGTGACCTTACATGGACAAAAGTCCAATGTTTTCCAAAAACTCAAAAAAATTATCGCGTCGTCCGATGGAAAAAATGTTCTCGGACAACCTAGCGCTAGTACTGATGACTTGAGAGTGGAACAGAGAACATGCAAGGTCATTAGGAAGATATAGCGGCAGTCCGTGCTGTGAAAATGTACCAAAGTTTGGTGATCACTAAACCGGTGAGTTAAGCCTAGTCTTCTTGATTAGCAAACAGGAACGGAATGGTTCAAATTAACCAAGCAGAGTGACGGCGCGACCTAAATGGTCTTAACAGCTTGGAGAGGGAGCGGTTTTGGTTACAGAACCCAAAAATGTCATTTTCAGTAGAGCAGCTCACAGCGATACTGTAACACCAACAGAGATAATTTGAAGAAAGCCAAACACCATTGATCGAAGATATCTGCCATCGACTTGCGATACGAGCAAGACCAAATGTTGAAAAGCAGCAGTCTTCTGCGGATGTAGTCGTTAACAGTATTTATGGGTTTCAATAAGACCCGGATGCCGGCCTCACTTTGGAACCTTGGTTAAGAAAACATATAGATATTTTCTGGTCTAAATTTGCCGATGCTGACGACGGGTGTAAGTGTAAACTGCTTCTGCGGAAGCATGGAAGCAAGGAACACGATAAGTTCCTCAATAATGTCCTCCATAATGGCCTAAAGATTCTATTTTCGAGCAATTTGTGCCCTTGTTAAGTGACAATTTTTTGTGAATAGTCTTTTTGATTTCGCTGCATGAAGATCGTCAAGTGCGTAAAACATGATTTCTTGATTCGAAGTGTTATCGTCAATCATTGCAAGCGTATTATGCTAAAAGCACTTAGGGGTGATCAGGTCAAGGCAACAATTTTCGTTTGTTGTTTACGGGCACCCGAGGATGCCGAAATATGTATGAGGTTGCCTAGTAAAATTGAGCAGGATCCATACATCAACCTCATGTCCATCATCGCCAAATGTCGGTGGTTTATCAAGTTGAAAGACGACACGAACCTGATTGCCTTAGACTGCAGTCCCGTTAATGCACTGGCCCCGGTAATCTATGAGCAGCTCAGAGAATACTATATGCCACAGCATATCTGGACGATGTCATTACCATGGGACCTAACACGGAAGAAATGCACCAAGGAACAGAACACGTGCTTGACGGATTACAGGAGTAGTGGATTCCGTCTGAGAAGGGACAAATGTGTTTTTATGAATTCTATTAAATACCTCGGTTTTATCGATGGTCAAAGTGGGCGACGGCCGGATCCATCAACCACCAAGGTGATCAAGAGCATACCCTACCACAGAACGCAGCGATATTTCCTTGGTGTGGCGAGTAACTATAGTACACACCTATCGCCTATGCGCGGCCAAAGTGGACTATTAAAAAGAGTGCTGATGAAGAAGGTTCCGTCGGTCTGGACCGCCGAATGTCAGGAAACTTTCTATAAAATCAAGCCACCATTAAGTTCAGGAATAATGCAAACGCACTACAATCCAAAGCTGCTAATCGATGCGACATCGGATACATGCAGCTAGGGATTTGGTGTAGCTGTTCCGCGCATTTCCCAAACGCATCTGACAAGCCAGTTACCCATGGCAATCGCAGTTGAAGGGAGGCTCTTGCTACGCTGTTTGCAGTGTAGCGTTTGCACAAAATGCTTTATGACGGTCATCTTAATTTGCTAACGGATCACGAAAAACTTCTTGGTAAATTCAGATTGAATAAATGGGTCCCAGTGCATAGTTCCAAACGTCTGCAAAGATGTTAGATAAAAGTGTTCGGGTATGATTTCAAAATCAAGTACCGGTCGACGCGTGATATTTCTCAGACCGATGTACTATCACAACTGTTGTATGAAAAGCACCAACAAGAAGACACCGTCGTCGCTAATTTCTTGATTTAAGCGGAAATCACTCGCATGTTTTCAGACACTACGAGCCAGCTCACAAAACCTTCCGGTCTGGTTCGAGACGCCACTTTACAATACCCGTTGTTGTAACAGCGGCGCACATTTAACTACCCACAGTAGCCACGTAAACATTTTTGACGCGCAGCTACAACAATTGTTCTAGAGATAAAATGCATTATCTGTCATCCAAGACTATCCTGTTTGCTGAACGTATTGTCATTCCAACTGAACTCCAATTCAAAGACCTAAAAAAGCTTCATGCTAGACAGCCCGGCTGCAACAGAATGAAGTCTAGCGAGAAATTATGAACACTGGCCGTTTATAGATTCTCAAATGGCAGAGTTAGCATGTTCTTGCGCAAAGTGGGCCCTAGGAGCGAAATCATCGCGGAAACGTGGACTCTTCTGCTGACCGACGCCCACGGAACCATAGTCAAGGGTACACCTTGATTTTGTGGTGCCAATCAAGGCACGGAACTTCTTACTCGTTGTCCATGCATACAGAAAATGTGGAACGGCTCAACATCGCAACTATCAACACCTTCAGGGAAATACTCAGTCGGTTCGGTTTTCTGGAATCCCTTTCATCCGACAACGGAACTCAGATTACCTCTTCACACTGCTGAATTTTGTGCGCTACATGGCATGGACACGTATGTTCACCTCCTCATCATCCACCGTTCCATGGGCAAGCTGATAGACTTGTGGTCTGCTCACAGCTAACGAATACGGATCAATTCAAGAGGTCCTACAAACTTTTCTGCTACCATGCAGAATTTCGCTTAATCCACGGACACCACAACACAATCGATTTCACTCAGGAGGCTTCGAACTAAGTTTGATCTGGTGAGGCCGCTTGATAATGGAACGTCAGTACAACCAAACACATCACGCAATACCGTGACATTTTGACGATGAACTTTTGTCCAAAAGACTATCGGAACGACAAGATCTCGTGGACTTCTGGATTGGTTATAAACGACACGGCCATGTCTGCTATGAAGTGGCCGTAAGCGATGACCAGTGGGTTCGCCGCATCAAACAACTCAGGAGATACACAGCGCTTGACAGAAGATAAGATGCTTGTCTACGCACATTGAAATACTTTTGGACAAGTTCAGGCAGTCAACGACAGGTAACTCAGCAACGTAGCGCAAACATTCTTACAGACTCTTGATTCTGAGTATCGGCCCAGAAGATGGACGGACCGCTGCGGTCGCTGTCATGCCGCCACAGGGCAGATCCAGATTGAAATCACATGACAGTGGACTTCGTACGGGGAGATGTTAGGAGGTGCACATAAGTAAATAGATCAGTGACCCTGTATGGAGAGTAACCCAGCGTTTTTGCGAAACCTGGTAGTAGGATGTGGGCAGTCGATCAAAGGAACCTTCTCGGAGGACCTAATACTATTGTGTTAAGTAGAGAAGAAATGAAATGAAGGTGTTCAAGGCCACCAGGAACACATAAATGATAGCAGTTTTATGGTCTCGGGATCCGTGAAGACGAATGAACGTTTTTTACAGCAATCATCAAATGTCTCAGTTTTATTGTTTTAACTGATGGCAGTCGACCGGATGCAACGAACATAGAAGCCATATAGAAAATGTACCCACTAACAGATCTACAATCATCGGGTTCTGTTTGTGATCTCGTCAACCAATACAGCGCAAGTTTGCTTGCGCGCTCCTCTGAACAAGGTGCAGACCAAAAACTACGCATGGAACTGGACGAGTGTTCTGAACGAGGCAAGTTACTATTGGTCTCAGACCTGTTTCTGATTCATTACGACCCAACTCGAGAAATTAGTGTCGCAACAGATGCATGAAGCCGTGTGATCGGTGCAACTATACGTGTACCCGGATGCATCCCAGAAAGCGATCGCTCAGGCCACCATGATGGTTACAAAAACCGAAAAAAGCTACAGTCAAATCCGGGAAGAGGCACTGGCCCTAATCTTTGCAGTGAATAAATTCTACAAGATGCTAGATGGTTACCGCTTCAAACTTCCGACGGATCACAAACCGGTGCTGACTATCTGCGGCTCGAGAAAGGGCATCCTTGCTCACACAACCAACCGCATCCAACGTTGGGCACTCACACTGCTGAGCTATTATTTTGAGATTCGTTACCAAACAACAGTTTCCGTGGGCCAAGCAGACGCATTGTCACGCCTCATTAACTATCATCAGCATGCTGAAGAGGACGCGACCATAGCCTTAGTCCTGCTTAAATATGACGTAAAATCTTTCGTGAGTGGCGCACTTCATGAGTTTTCAGTTACTGCAGAAGTTGTACAAACCGAAACACTCCCTGACCCGTTACACAAGAAGGCTCCATATTTCCATACAACCAGCTGGTCACGTTCATATTCAGTGGTTGGATTGCAGTAGTACTGCCAGAGACATTCACTTTCCATTATGGATGACTGCATACTTTTTCGGAAAAGGTCGTCATCCCGAAGGCCCTACAAAAGCGTGTAGGTTGAGTTTCATTGCCGGAATTCTGGGAACAACCGGATGAAGGCGATTGCCCGCAGCTATGTGTACTGACCTTTCATGAAGAAAAAGCTAGGAGAACTGACTAAACGCTGCCAACCAAACTACTTTTTGATCTCCTTGTGGATCACTTCAACCTACCAAACCCGACAAGGAGGGTCGCAGTCAATCGAGTGATACATCTGATAGTCCAAAGCAAACTCAAAGGAACTTCAGCCCAGGCTGTGGACGGACAAACGGAGAACACTATCTTCAAGACTGCAAGTCAACCTATACTGCAGCCGCGATCTCAAGATAAATGTCTGGGAGAAAGTAAAATCTCCTGGAAAGGCTCATTTTTCAATGAGAAAACCAGTTGTGGCAGTTTCCCGTATATCCTTACACAGCCTCGGGTATCACAGCAGAGATACCTCAGAATAGAAACGAGTTTAGCTGGTGCGTCCTTCGTGGATAGGCAGTGCCACAAGCGGGCACAGGCCACGTTCTACGTATGTCAGCTAGGCATTTGCCCTATCGCGCTGTTCAACGGTGTAAGACTCGACTGGTCAACCAGTCACCTGGCGACAACATATGAAATCGTTGACTTCACGTCTTGCCGTCGTTGGATCCATACGCCTGGGACCTAAGGGACGGAAAGTGTCGATGGCTCGAAATAATGCAGAATATGGCGCGCAACAGGAACCAGTGAAAGATCTGTGCACATAGTTGTTTAGATTCAGACACAACGCCTGACAATTAGAAAAGATGAAGAAGGAAAAAACGGTGTGTGAAAAATTAACAAAAAATCGTTCCATTCTCCTTGCGACACAACAGCTGAAATGTGTTACGCGCCTTTAACTAATATGTCCTAATGATGATGTTGCGGCAATTCCGCCTGTCATGCGCCGAATTTCATGGTTTTGTTTGGCTGTGTCTATTTATTAGACCTTTGATTCTACTACTACTACTACTCGGTATTTTCGGATTCAAGAAAGACATCACAATTCACGAAGGGAGACTATGCTTCTGGCTTATGATTTTTCAAAGAGATCAGTCGACTGAAGATAAAGATGCCTTGTCACGACTCATGGAAGCTCAGCATCTGAAGATAGCGTCGCCGCGTGAGTATCCGTAGAGTCAACAATAAATACCGTGCTTGCTACCTCAGTCCGCACTTCTGTTATGATCCGCGATTCTCCTTCTTCCATTAACACCCCGGTTGAGTAAACAACGCAAGATGCGGGATTCGATGTGCTGGCATGTGCAACAAGTGGCTCAACTATTGGAGTCCGGTGCGCGATATAATGATGCTGAGCGGTTCACTCGCTCTTGCTGTACCAAATACTTGCTTTTACTTAATTGCGGCTAGCTCCTGCGACAAAATAAGCCGACTTCATGAATGTAGCGGATTGCAGTTGCCCAAGTGCGGTGGTCGGCAGCAAGCTCCATGCAGATAATGATCCAATGATTTTTCCAGTGAAGAGCACCATGCACAACCTGGAGTCTCAGATCGACGTCGGATTTCACTGCAGTGAGCCACGTTTTCAGTTGAGCATCACAGCGACGACACCAACCCTGGCAAGGCGAGGGTGAAATTATGGCCCTAGTGAAGTCAGTGTCTGGTCTGCGGAAATCGTGACCAAACCAGTGAAGCCTGCGGCGCTTACTTACTTGTCATCGGTGATACGCTCATGCCATTGCATTCTTAAGATAAGACTTAAAAGGAGTGGTCGAAGATTTCCAGCTTCCGAGTATCTTCGGATCGCAGCGGCCATGTTTCGCAACCATAGAGTAAAATGGTACGAACAGTTGCTGAGAATACTCGCATTTTCGTTCTCAGACTAATTTCCGTCCTTCGCTACAACCTGTTTCTCAGTTATAAGAAGGCTGTTCTAGCGCTGTCAATACGATTGCGAATTTCGGATGTAGCCAGACCATAGGGGAGAATAGTAGGTCCTAGGTACCTGAATTCAGGAACAGACGCGTTGAGTTGTTCATGTAAGGAGAGTGACGAGGCGGACTGGGTGGCTGACGATGAAAAGTACTTCGTCATGCTGGTGTCAATTTCGAGATGGATCATAAAGGCTGATTGATTGCCTTGATTAGGCAGCGACTATAGTAATATAGGATCCTCTGCCTGCACCAAATACACGACACCGAATACGTACATGCTTACGCAGTGTCCACACCAGACATCAGCTAAACTGCGAAGGCAGTGATAGTTGTACGCAACATGTCTCTTTAGGTCTGTCGACCTGATGAGCCGGATTGCACAACCAAGTACCCCTGTCAACTTGCACAGCGCGTTGAGCACCATCTGCACAGATTAGGTCGAGGGGGAATTCTTTATAATAGATCCAAAGGACGATGAACAAAACAAGAACTGAACGAGGTAAACATCATTGAAAGGTACGAAAGAGGTACTAAGAGCCTAAAGAATGTTCCAGGTAGCAAAGGCATTGAACGACAGCTTGCAGTTGACTGCAATGTGCGCACCGCCGAATAACCTGCCTGTAGCAACAGGCATAATGGCAAACAGGCCACTCAAAAAAATAAGAAACCCAGATCGCGTAAAAGAGCTTGAGTGCAACATCTTGTCTCAACTCTTAGTATGGGATTGTTATCAGAATAGCGGCCCACAGTGACAACATGACGCAGTGGTATCTTGTATGAGACTTTGTCTACAAATGTGTCCCAAACAATGCGAGTGTTAAGTACCGAAGAAGCAGTGGCAATTGCGGATAAGAACAAGTCCTCAGAGATGTAGACTTGACCGAAGTACTTATACACTGAAGTGATAATTGCGATGGAGATGATAATGTAAAACTTCACAAACCATAGAAAGTAGAAGCCTAAACGACGCAGTAATTATCTGAGAATAAGGTTTTCCTCGAAAGGATCACCAGCTTAATGAACTTGGTTGTAGAAGAGTTTGTTCGGCGATTTTAGCCCACTGACAACTTCTTCCTCCCTTGATTCGCCTTCGGCTATAGGTCTTGGATTAGGTCGTGGAAAAGTGGATCCGATGTTTTGTAACCCGGGTAAGATACCGCAGAGCACAAGACATTCGGGGGGCGGTCCAACATGGTGTCTTCCATAAACTGTTTTGTTACATTACACACCTTGACATTATCCAGGGGTGATGGAGGCAGTTTGAACTAGCGTAAAGATAAGAGCTCCAATGTCAATCCTCCCGATGCAAAGTCAATTGACGAGTCCACGTTTAGCTGAAAACTAATCAATCAGTCAACAACAGCAGTACATCATCCATTTGAACTGAGCCTTCGCTGCCAAACAACCATGATGATCTATGGAATAAAGAATAATAATGAAAGAGAGAAGAGGGACTTATCTGAAAAACTTAAGCAAACATTCAGGGTCAAGGCCCTTATACCTTATGTTAACAACATACCGTCACAAACAGCTAGCTATCGTGCAAAGATAAGGCGGCATCGGCGAGACAGCTTCCTCGCGGCTTTCACTGTCCCGCGTCATAATCAGTCATTACCCCGCAGATAACTCAACACCAAACACACTTTAAACAGGCAGTCCGACTAGAAGACGGTAGCATACGCGCCACTAGTGTTGACCGCGAGCCATGTAATAAGACTATTATAAAACGGAGGAAAAAACATCGCTCTACTGCTATTAAACATCACACTTTCACTACCGGCTGCGTCCCATCTCAATGGAAGCAACCCATTATATTGCCTAAGCACAAGGGTGACTCGCGAAATGAAGTAGCAAGCTACCGCCCAAGAAATCACACCTCTGCTACTTCCAAAGCCCTAGAGAATAGTCAAGAATATCGTTCAATTTCATACAAGACTGGCTCTGGTCAACCCCTTACAACATGGCTTTATCTCAAAACACTCCTGCGTTCCCCGTCAGTTACAATTCCTCGATCATGTCACCACTATGATTGACAGAGGAATGACAATCATTATAATTCGGTTAGACATGCAGAAGGCGTTCGACCGCGTGCCGCACAAGCCACTGCTGTTTGCTCTAGAGTCATTTGACACTGGAAATCCTTTGCAAAACTGGTTCAATTCATACCTTAACGGTCGAAGCCAGATAGAATCGGTCAGTAATACTCTACGTCGAAACAAATGACTAGTGGCGTTTTCCAGGGAAGTGTGCTAGGACCACTACTTTTTCTAATCTACATAAACAAATTATATACAACCCGATCAAATACGGACGCCCATTTCTGTTTGCAGATGACATCTGGTCTACACATTTCATCCAGACCAACTACAAAGGGGCCTGCGAAGCATCCGTGAAGACCAAACCGCACCAAATATAGCCAGTGAACGTTTGTTACTGAAGTTCACCGCAGTGAAATCCCAAGAAGGCTCTAACACACTTGCCGGAAAGATGCCAACATCTGCTTTAGTTCGAAGCTTAGGAATTAGGTACTCCAACTCTTACAATTTCTCCAAACACGTGCCTTATTAGGTTGCAAAAGCAAGGCAGCTAGGCGGATACATTACCAGAACTTTCTCCCTGCCTGAAACACGACTTGAGTCATTCAAGATAATAGTACGACCGACTCTGGAATACAGCATCATCGTTCACAGCCAATTGAGAAAGACTGAACAGCTCTGGAAAATGTCCAACGATCATTTACCAAGCTGGTCATGGGGCGCTACTCAAACGTGTGTTCTTATGATTCCTGTCGAAAACTTCAAATGGATCCTCTTCGGCTGAGATGCCTAAAGAACAATTTCCTTCTCTTCCACAAGATTATTAATCTGGTTTTCTGGGACCAGTGATGCGCATTAGCTGGAAGAGCTTGCGGTAATTGCCTATTGCCCCTGCCTGCACCATTTCTTCAGCACGACTGGTCCATCAGGCTTCCTTGTCAGCATGTAGCCTCTGCTTTAGTTCACGCCTAATAGCCCGTCTGGTCACATCGTGTTCAGAGCTATGCGGGAGGTTTCTTCTAGATTCCAACAGGTTCACCGACCTCTCGGATATCCAGTGACTGGTGCGGTGACGATGGAGTGTCACAAGCAGATGCTCCTGCGTCGTGCATGGCGGCCGAGATCTTATTCCACTGAAGTTCAGTGTCATTAAGACAAGACAGCGGAAGTTCGGCATACAGAGCTTCTTGATAGGCTTGCCTGACCGAGGACTGAGACAATTTCTCCGTTGCCAATAGGAGGGGACGCTTAGTGCGCCTCCCGGTAAAGTTCATGGAGAAATGACAGCGTACCAAGGCATGATCAGAGTCGACACAGCTATTCCAGTATGAGCGGCAATCCAGGATGGAACCACGCCACCTGTAATTTATGGCTGTGGTTTATTTGGGTCCATCGCTGGCCAGCTACAGCAGGACGCCAAGTGGCACTTCGGCGCCCACTGTGTCTAAAAGCAGTGTTACTAAGAAACAATTGGTGCTCCACACACAGTCGCAGCAGACGCTCACTGCTGTCAGTCCGTTGGGAGTTAAGCCCACAATTACCACCCAGCTGAGCTTCTGAAGAGCTCAGACGCCCTACTTGTGCGCTCATATCCCCTGCAAGTAATATAATATCTGAAGTAATAGCACTGCGCAGTAGAGCGTTCAGTTCGTCACAGAATGTGTCCTTGACTGCATTAGAACTGCGGTCGATGGGAGCATAAGCGAAAATCACAAACAAACAGCGTTTGTTACTACTTCGTGAATCCACCTTACTTGATGTCGTCAAACGGGCTGGACATAAACGGCTGTTCACCGGAATCCAATCAACCAACGAGGGCTCAGCCTTGAAGCTTAGAATGATACCTACACCAGCTTGACTCATGGTTGCTGCGTTGGCGTCTCTGGATGCGTGCAACCAATAACGAGAGGGTCAGCTGGGTGCAGTTAACTCAATAACCCCGTTAGGATCATTGATCCTAGTTTCGGACACACCACACATCAATACCCAGTGTATACAAGGTGCGTGCGAGTGCAGCCTGTTGACCTGCTGGTCTTAGAGTGCGAACGTTGAATGTCGCCATGGAAACGGGATAGCGTGGCATTATAAGGGACTTTTGCCGATAGGCGTCCGATAGGTGCTGTGGAATGGTAGCTGCAGATGGTTCTACTCCAGTGGCACTTCGGTTGCTGTCAATAAAGCTGGGAATTATAGAAGGAAGGTTAGTAATGGGTGTCGGATGGGAGTAGGAGAAATAGGCAGGAAAGAAAGGAGGCGCCAGCAGTAGCATGTTTTCGCTTATCCTCCCTGCTGGAAGCAGCAGATAAGGCGACCTTTGATAATCTGCGCGACGGCCGATGCAGGATGAAGTTTATGTTTGAAGAAGATGTCATGGTTTTATGTGGGCTGAGATACTGCCAGGGCGCCCAGACCTAGACAGGCGGACGATTAGGATCCTCATCCAAAACCTTTGGCTCAAAAGCCTGTCTGGAAAGCAGCGGGGAGGTGGCAATAATTTAGTTTTATAGAAATGGACGCCATCCCGTTTCAAACCCCCAACCTGGAGGACCAGAAGACTGAGTTTATCTGACCTCTCACCATTGACCAACCTGGAACAGTAGCTCACAAGGTGCCCGGAGGCATCACCCAGTATAGCTCAATGGGTCAATGACGTACGCAAACCGTCGCACCACGTTAAGGTCCAGTCTCGTTACGACGGCTCCCAATGGGCGTGATCCCCTGAATTCGCTCCGCTGCCTTGCAGGGAGGCTATTCAGGCAAAGGCTCAGGGTGGTGTCCCCTAAGTCAACACCCTACTTCGGCTTGGGCAACCGGGTAGTATCTCGCCCTCTGACGAAACCATGGACATGGCTGTGTTGTGTTTTCTTTTACTATTCCTTTACCTTCTTTTGAATCCCATGATTCCTGATGGCATTATATCTATTCGTAGACCGTTGCATATATATATATATATATATATATATATATATATATATATATAAAAGACCGGGAAGCATGTGGATGGGAGTCACGTTTTATCAACGGAGCCGGCCCACACTCCTTCACAGACAAACACAAGCACGCTGTATTTGGGGAATCAATCGCACACAAGGCGGTGGCTGGACCGTAGTCCGCTCCACACTGAGTGCATAGAACCGCTCCTCGATCCTAGCACGGCCACAAGGACCGTGCACCCCGTCATCTCCGGCAACGACCAACTGTCTCCTGGAGCCAGTATGGACGAGGTAGTGGGTAATAGACAGGTAGGCACCTTGTCAACATGCACATCAAGCGCAGCCACACCGGGGGTATCAAGCAACAGCCAATAACTTGAAACGACAAGATGAAAGAAAACAAATCCAATAACGCATACAGATACGGTGGCATAACTCTTCACTAAGTTAGCATATGAAGTAAGTTGGTTAGCAACGAATCCGCGATAAGTAAAAAAGTCCACAAGTAACTTCAAAATGCTACAAACGCAACAATGTTACCGAAGATAAGATTAATTAGCGAAAGCAACGTGGCCAGTTAATAGAAGATTATTTAGGTAGACAGAACAAACCAAATAAAATGGAATGAAATTTATCCAGCTTAAAAAGACCTAGTGCAAGTGTAAGTTGGTTTAGCCCAACTGCGGTGAAGAAACATCAAGAATGAAACATCAGCCTAAGCATGGGGCAAATACATACATTATATATATATATATATGCACCGTTTCACTTGCGCTAATCTAGCTAAGTACTTAAATTTTTGAGCGACTTCTAACTCATGACCACCAAGAGTCAGCGCAGGAGCGAGTCCACGCCAATCTTGGAGGACTTGGCAGTTTGACGATGCAAAGTATAGCCCGAAGCGACTGACAGCCAGTGCTAATATATCCAGTGTTGCTTGGCACGTTTGAAAGCTGTCAACTATAAGGACAACGTCGCCAACATACTCCAAGTCAATAAGTTGTTCACCAGGAAGCAACTCCAGCGAACGCCGTTTCCATTACTTCGTCAATCGCGAAGTTAAAGTAAAGGTGATAACGAGCAGCCTTGTCACACCGTTGGAGGTATTGTAGGCCGGCGACAGTTTTCCACAAGCCCCAGATCTGTCTGAACTCTCCGCGTAAAGCGCTTTGATAATGTTTACAGATTTATCCGGAACGTTCTTCCTGAGAAGACAGTCCCAACGGGCAAATCGATCCGCCGAAAGGCACCTTTGATGTTGTAAAACACGACTACGGTGGGTCGCCAAAAATATGGCGGTATTCCAACAATTGACGCAAAGATATGGGCGATGCAACATCGAGTTCGACGAAACCCGACTTGCTCCTCACGAATATGACTTTCATTGGCGCCAGTCAGACTGTTTTGATCTATGATTGCCGACCCCAAATGTGCACCTCCCTTGAAGACTGGGACTATGATGGAGTGGCTCCGGTCTATTGGGACAGTCTCATGCTGATACAGCTTCACTGGTAAGTTGTACTAATCTCCCGAAAATTAAAAGCCAATCTGCTCTTGCGGGTTTATTGGGTTTCAACAGTCTTATCTCGCGTTCAACATCTGCGCGTGTATGCGAATCCAAGGGGATTGCCCAGGGAG